ATGCTGGAAAAAAGCATCCCAGGTCAGACAGTGCTCACTACAAAAGCCCTAAGGCAAAATACCTCTGGAACTTGAAGATGCTTCTGGAATATATTTTATGGTCAATTTTACTCTTTATCATTTTACTCCACAACACTAGCTTATTTGAGTACAATGATCCATGTTTGCTAATAATTTTGAAACTATAATCTCCCTTATTGTAACTCAAATACCTGGAAACATCACTTATCCAGAATATACATGAGAATTATCAGGGAGAAAAAAGAAAAGAAGATATGGCCTCTGAGAAGCCAAAATACATCCTTACAGAAAAGGCCTCAGGCTCTCTTAGGGCTTTATGTCAAATTTGATAGGCTGGGTTACCTGGTATCCAGTATTTTAGTGAGAAAGGAAGAGAGCTGAAAGGAAATTTGGCAAGAAGGAAGTTAGAGCCCCTGCCAATCACACCCAATGACAGTGGGAATTAACATCTGATAGTTCATAGGAGTCTAACGAGGGGTCAACAAAATGTATCCAAGCCCAGAGGAAGTGCCACCCAGAAGCTATGCTCAGTGAGTGGGGCAGGTAACCCTGAAAACACCAGGAGCAGGTGACAGCCACTTACTCAAAATGACAACCACAACCCTCCCCACCAAACTTCAGTAACAGTGTGACCAGTTCAGAACGTCGAGAGGGAAGGATTTTAAGTTTTAATCAAACTCATCACAATTTTCTTTAAAGTTTTATTAATTAAAGAAGTAAATTTGGGGGCAGCACCTGTGGCTCAAAGGAGTAGGGCAGCAGCCTACTGGAAGTGGTGGGTTCAAACCCAGCCCTGGCCAAAAACTGCAAAATAAAAAAAAAGAAGTAAATTTTGAACTACCAAAAAAACTTGAGTATCCAGGAGCCTCATTCACAAAGATTACCAAATAGGCAAGATCTCTTGGCACCAGTTAAGGTAATGCTCAAATTATTTTAAAGTTAAAAATCTTCCAAGCAGTGCCTGTGGCTCAAAGGGGTAGGGCGCTGGCCCCATATGCTGGAGGTGGTGGGTTCAAACCCAGCCCTGGCCAAAAACTGC